GACGAAATCAAATACCATCTTCAGTGCACATCATGACCATGAAAATAAACACAAACACACATCCTTCACACTCCACACATTGAACCAAACGCACAACAGTGCACCAACACTGCACTATACAGTAAAATTCAAAAGAGCTACTGCCTCTGTGTGTGTGTGTGTGTGTGTGTGTGTGTGTGTGTTTGTGTGTGTGTGTATATATATATACACACACACACACACACATTTAAAATGTATTTGTGTGTGTTTGTGTGTGTAAACCTACTGTATATACATCCATATACACAAGTACACTCATACAAAAACGTATTTTATACAGCAAACCACACACTGTATGGAATAGATTTTGAAATTAAGCTAACTTTTCGGAATCCAAGTGCTTGCGCGTCCCTTGGGTTGTTTCCGCTCTTTCCTTTTCGGGAAGCAACAGAAACGGAAGCCGTCAATCCTGGGAAAGATCGTCCTCCCCCCCCCTCCTCCAACTTAGTATCTTCCATTTGCCCCCGGCTCCCGGGACCTGCGGGCCGGCCGAAAGGGGTCTCGAGGGGGGTGGAGGCAGAGCCGCAGCTCAGACAGGGCTCCACCGCGGTCCGCCCGCTCCCAGCCCCGCTCCCGGTCAACCCAAAGCCGCCGGAAGGGAGGTGCCGGCAAGCCAGGTGCGTACCGCGTAACGAGCCGGAGGAGTCGCGAGGTGGCCGGGCGGGGATGCTTGGATCCACTGACCTATAAGCGCCCGGCCGAGTGAGGACCGTCTGCAGCTCCTCCCGGGACCCCTCGCTCCGCATCTGTTACCCGGGGAGCGCATGGATGGATTCCCAACGGAAGAAAAAACGGACCGGCTTCACCATCGGGCTGCTTTTCCTATCCGGAGGGATCGAGTATGGTAGGTTTAACCAGGGGGGTCGGGGAGTGGATCGCCGGGGAGAAGGGTCGGTGGTGGGTGGGGAGGGGGCGAGGATACCATGGGGTGGAGATACCACGGGGTGCAGATTTTCCTAGGGTTTTAGCCTGGCTGTTGGCGACCCGGAGGGCATCTTTTAAAATTCAGAATAGAGCTGGAAGGGGCCTTAGAGGTCGTCTACTCCGACCCCCTGCTCAAGCAGGAGAATCCCATACTGTTTCAGACAAGTGACTGTGTCCAGTTTTTTCTTAAACTAATCAAGGAGACAAGCAACCTGGAATTAAGGAGAAGCTTCTTAAAAGTGAGAACAATTAACCAGGGGAACAGCTTGCCTCCAGAAGTAATGGGTGCTGGGATTTTTTAAAACGTTTTTTTTTTTAAAGAAGAGAGAGGACAGCCCCTTGTCCAAAATAGTATAGGGGGTTGGACTAGAAGACCTCCAAGGACCCTTCCATATCTATTCTGATTGGTTAAAACCCTCCAGTGGTGGAGCACCCACAATTTCTGGAGGCTAGCTGTTCCACTGGTTAATTTTTCTCACCATTAGGAAGTTCCTCCTTAATTCCAGGTTGCTTCTTTCCTTGATTAGTTTCCATCCATTGTTTCCTGTCCTCTGGTCTTCTTTGTGCCAGGATCCTGTGCATTGCTCTGGGCAAAATGGAATTGAAATATAAAATAGGAATCAGGGTCAGAGTTCAGGCATCTTTACCCCTTTTTATGGGGGGTGGTGGTGGCTTTGTTTCACCAGATTTTAGGAGGGACGCTGGAAGGAAGGACACTCAGCTTCACCAAACACTTGGAGAAATGGTGCTCAAGCTTAGCAACTTTAAGATGTGTGGATTTCAATTCTGGGAGTTGAAGTCCACACTAATTTGAAATTGAATGTGAATATAGGTACTCCTTGATTTATGATCTGCTGTTGAGCCCAAAATTTAGGTTGCTAAGCGAGACATTTGTTAAATGAATTTAGGCCCATTTTACGACCTTCCTTGCCATAATTGTTAAGGGAATCCCTGCAATTGTTAAGTTAGTAACACGGTTGTTAAGTTAAGTCTGGCTTCCCCGTTGACTTTGCTTGTCAGAAGGCCACAAAGGGGGATCACATGACCTTGGGAAACTGCAACCGTCATTAATATGAATCAGTTGCCAAGCATCTGAATTTTTATCATGTGATCCTGAGGATGCTGCAGTGGTTGTGAAGTGTGAAAAATGTTGTAACTTTGAATGGTCACTAAATGAACTGTTGTAAGTCGAGGGTTACCTGTACTTTATTTGGCCAAGTGTGATTAGACACACAAGGGATTGGTCTCCAGGGCAGAAGCTCTCAGTGTACCCTGGCTTGCAGAATCAGCATTCTTAAAATTGTAAATTTGTGCCACCTGTAATCCATGTTCTAGATTGCTAAAAGATCTGGAGCTGTAAGTGAACGAACAAGCTTTTTTGAATTGCTTTTCCTAGCTGAGTTCTGAATATTTTATACATTCATTTTGATCCTGCCTTTATTATTATGTTTAACTAAGGCGGCAAATATACTTAATGCCCCTTCCTCCTCCTATTTTCTTCCCAAAAAAACTATGAGGTGAGTTGGGCTGAGAGAGAAGGCCTATAGTCACCCAGCTGGCTTTCATGCCTCAGGCAAGACTAGAACTCACGATTCCTGGTTTCTAGCCTAATGCCTTAGCCACTAGACCAAACTGGCTCTCTTTTCCCAAGGAATTAATTATTATGCTGAGTTTTCATATTCATGTGGTGTCCTGGGTGTTCTGATGATGGTATCTAATCGGGTAATTAAAAGTTTGCGAGCAAAGGAGCAAGCTCAGAGAACAAATACCAAGGATTTCAATCCTGAGCCTCTGATGTTCTGGTCTATACTTCCTAACATCCTTAGTCCGCACCTACATTTGTTTCAAATCCTCTTTCACAATTCTAGTTTGAAAATAGTGCTTATTCTCTTCTCTACCTAATACTGTGTTTCCCCGAAAATAAGACTCTGTCTTATATTTTTTTTGCCACCCAAAAAGGCACCAGGTCTTATTTTCGGGGGATGTCATCCACTGACTAACCTCAGTTGCGCGCGTCGCCCCCGGCCTCCTTTTTGCTGTCAGGGGCCTTCAGGAACTTCTTCTGCAGCTGGCAAGGCTTTCCTGAAGGCCTCTGCAGCAGATAATGGAGCTCTGGATGGATCTGGGAGTTTTGTTATCAGCTACAGAGGCCTTCAGGAAAAACTTGCCAGCTTTGCCGGCTGCAGAAGAATTGGGCTGGTAAGGCAGGTGTCGGGGTGTGCGAGGCCTGGCTACAACTGTCCAAAGGTAAGTAGTAGGGCAGCTCCACCAACAAATCCCCACCCTAGCTTAATTTTTACCCATCCACTCTGGAGCAATCATGAGGAAGTATGAATAGATTGGGTGTATCTAAGGCTTTCTTAATTTGAGGCCTTCTGTCTTGGATTTCAGTTCTCATCATACCTCATACATCTACTCGGAACTGCTGGAACTGGTTTGCAAAGTCTGCACTACTATTACTGTTAATCTTCTCATCACTCCTTATCACACATCCCCTCCCACTTGTGACTGTATTGTGCAAGCAACTTTGTTGCTTGTAACCTTACGATTTATATTGACTGTTTCTTCGTATGATTTGATTGCTTATTGTGCCCTATGACTGTCATTAAGTGTTGTACCTTATGATTCTTGACTCTTGACGAATGTCTCTTTTCTTTTATGTATACTGAGAGCATAAGCATCAAGATAAATTCCTTGCGTGTCCAACCACACTTGGCCAATAAAGAATTCTATTCTATTCTATTCTATTCTATTCTATTCTATTCTATTCTATTCTATTCTATTCTATTCTATTCTATTCTATCTTTACTTTTTGGCTCGGCCACTTCCTGGTTCTCGGCACTTCTGGTTGGATTTGCCCAGTAGGCTCAATTGTCATGTGGATTTCTTAGTTTTGGTTTAGTGCAAGGGTCTTCAAACATGGAAAGTTTGAAGTTTCTTCAAACTTTAAGACTCGTGGACTTCAACTCCCAGAATTCCTGAGCTAACATGACTGGAGGAGGAATTCTGGGAGTTGAAGTCCACAAGTCTTAAAGCTGTCAGGTTTGAAAACCCTGGGTTTAGTGTAAGGCAAAGGTCTCCAAACTTGGCAACTTTAATACTTGTGGACTTCAACTCCCAGAATTCTCCAGCCAGCAATGCTGGGTGGAGAATTCTGGGAGTTGAAGTCCATAAGTCTTAAAGTTGCCAAGTTTGGGGACCCCTGGTATAAGGTATGCACCTGAACGAAAAGAAGAGGATAAACAACAGCAAGGTTAATTGATTTGTTATGATGAGCACACCATTGGAAGACCCAAAGGACTAGGTTAAGGCCATGTTGTCATGGAGATAATCTGTCTGGTTGCTAAAACAGAATACTAGACAGAATAACAGAATTGGAAGGGACCTTGGAGGTCTTCTATTCCAAACCCCTGCTCAAGAGGAGACCCTATACTATTCCAGACAAGTGGCTGCCCAGTCTTTTCTCGAAAGCCTCCAGTGATGGAGCACCCATAACTTCTGGAACCAAGCTGTTCCATTGGTCAATTGTCCTCACTGTTAGGAAGTTTCTTCTTAGTTCTTGGTTGCTTCTCTCTCCTTGATTAGTTTCCATCCATTGTTTATCTTACCTTCTGGTGCTTTGAAAATAAGTGGACCCCCTCTTCTTTGTGGCAGCCCTCAAATATTGGATCACTGCTATCATGTCGCTCCTAGTCTTTCCTTTCACTAGTGACCAGGCCTACCCAATTCCTGCAATTCTTTTCATATCTTTTAGCCTCAACATCTTTTTTATAATATGGTGACCAAAGTTGGATGCAGTATTGTAAGTGTGGTCTTACGAAGGCTTTATAAAAGCAGTACGAATAGTTCATGTGATCTTGATTCTGTCCCTTTATTAACGCAAGCTAGAACTGCATTGGTTTCTTTGGCTGTTGCCACTCACTGCTGGCTCACGTTTAAGTGGTTCTCCTCTAGGACTCCAAGATCCCTCTCATTGGCATTAAGGCAGGTTTCACTTGGTCTATACCTACTGACACTGTTGGTTTTTCTTACCCAAGTGTAAAACCTTACTTTTATCTACACTGAATTTCGTTTTGTTAGATAGGGCCCAGTGTTCAAGTCTGTTGAGATCCATCTGGATCTTGAGCCTGTCTTCTGGAGTGTTGCCTATTCCTGACAGATTAGTGTTGTTAGGGATAACATTGTTTACCCTAACTGGTTTGGGTAAAAAATAATAAATAAGTTATCATGGTTTGTTGGTTAAAGTGTGTGTAACTTTAACTACAAGAATGTAATTAAGGGTGTGGTTGTAAAAGCACCATAAAAGAAGCAAGTCAATTGCAGCTCTCTCTCTCTCTGGCTTAATGATCCCTAATTACTGGATGGATTGATGACTGCGTTTTTCCTTACTGGAACGGAGGAGAGAAAGAGTGTTGATTTCTCAACGGAGAGAAGAGATAATACGGACTAATTTATTGTAAGTGAACTGACATTGGCTATTCAACACGGATTTTGCAAATTGAGTATCCCCGACTGGACTGACTGAAATGATACATGACTAATGGACCATTTATTTTGACTATGCTATAATTCCTAATGGAATAAACTATATTTTTGATAGCACAAGCGTATCTGTATTTTTTTACTGCGTGTTAACTAAAATACAAACTTATCTCACACATTTACCCGTCTGCCTATCTGACTACGCTACACATTCTGTTTAGTTTGTTTTCCTTAACACTCGTTGGGGAATTCAGGCTTAACAAGTGTCATCTGCAGTTTTGATGAGTTCCTTTTCTACTCCCTCAACTAGATCGTTTATGAAGATATTGAAGAGTACTGGGCCTAAAACGGAATCTTGTGCCCACTGCTTACTCCCCTCCATGTAGATGTAGTACCATTAAGGACTACTGGTTGAGTACAGTTTGTCAGCCAGTTACAAATCCATCTGGTGGTGATGCTGTCTATCCCATCTTTTTTTTTTTTTTTTTAGCTTACCAAAGAGTAGTTTGTGGTCTACTTTGTCAGATGCCTTACTGAAATATACTGTATTTCACTGGTCCGCTCATTTAGTCACTTTGTCAAAGAATGAAATAAGATTTTTTTGGCAAATCAATCATGGTGTGAACTCAGGGGCATCCTGTCTCATAAACTGTAATGGGATGTGGAAATGATCTTGAGGAATGAAAGAAATAAATGCTGCCTAGGAAACAATTAGATAAGAGAGGTAGGTGCCCTCAGTGACTCAACAGTTGGAGGAAGAAACTTAGGAACCGCCCCTAATTGTTCTGGTGCTCAAAAATGGTTATGGGAGATTTATACCTTCAAACAAATTTGCAAGATTCGGTTAACTTGGCGTTATAATAAAATAGTATTAGCTCATCTAGTCATATTTCCTGATTGATTCACCTGGCGGACATAAACAAGAGTTATGGGACAGTGAACCATGTGTACCCAACCAGTTGTAGTTTATTAATTAAACCATGGTTTCAGTGATGTGGATGAATACACCTTTGTTTGTTCAGTTTCTATAGCTCCTTATCTCAGTCAGTGACTCTTAATTTAAACAAGGTTTGTTAAATTTAAAGTAAGTTTGTTGCCCAGCGTTCTGAGGCTTGCTCTTCCAACAGCCAGTACAGATGTTAAGTATTAGATTTGACCATGAAGAGTTGGTTGCACATCTAACTAGGATTGTTTTTGTAAGCATAGAATTAGGGAGACCTCCTTTGTAAATTTGGTAGATTTTGCTCTCAGAAAAGGTAGGATTTAATAAATTAAAGTGTCTTTCACTTATCAGCTGACCTTGAGGTTTTTCCAGCCAATTTCTGAATCTTTGGATGCTTATTTGAAGGATGTTAATTTGGGGCACATCCCTCCACAGCCTGTGATAAAAAACAAAACAAAACGAAACTGCATTTGATCCTGGTGTAAATCTTACTGGAATAGAAACAGTCTGGGTTAAGTGTAGCTTGAGTTAGTCTGGCTTGGTGGCCAGAGGGCTGTGCTGAAAGTCAGGACTCCAACAAATCCACCCCCATTCAAATCACGCGCCTTGTCTTCCCACGGGCCATGTGGGGGGCACAGCGTTGTGTTCCCGCGCAGCCTGGATTAATTGATTTGGGGGTGCTTTGGGGGTGACATTTCTCTGCGGACCACCAAAATTTTCTCGCAGATCACCAGTGGTCCTCAGCCCACTGGTTGGTGACCACTGTTACAGGAAACACCCTTGGAATGGCGTGGGGGTAGCAATGGATTTCCAGAGGAAAAAAGTTGCAAATTACACGAACCAGGAGCATTACTAAACGACCCTCTCAAACAGGGCTGTTAAACTAGCATCGTCACAGCGTTGTCATATCGTGACTTTTCCCCATTCACTAAACTGGTCATGGGCATGGCCAGCCCATGACACATCTGGCCTGTGGGCCACAAGTTTGACAGCCCTGCTCTAAAAAGATGCAGGTAGGAAAAGTCCCTCCTCTTCTGTGCAAGATCCAGCATGATGTAATAAGGTACGTGGAGACCCAGATTCTAGTTCTCCCTTAGTCGCGGAAGATTATTGGGCGACAGTGAGCCAATCATACAGGTACCGTGTTTCTCAGAAAATAAGCCCGAGTCTTGTTTTCTTTTAGACTTGAAAATAAGCACTTGGGCTGATTTTTCGAGGCGGTCTTACTTTTTTTGAGGTGCAGCAGGCCAGACGTGATGAGCTGGACGTGCCGTGGACGCACCATCGCCTCCATTCCAAACCTTCAGCGTTCGGAATGGAGGCTCTTTTTTGGCGAGCGGGAGGAAAGGGGGGAATTTTCCTGCCTGCCATCCTTCCCCTCAGTCTGTTGCTGAGCTTGAGGAATGGATGACAGGCAGAAACTCCCCCTCCCCATTTTCCTCCCGTTCACCAAAAAGGCTCCCGCGAGAGCCTCCCAAAAAGAGGGGAAAAGCAAAGCAGCTGGCCGCGGCCCATCAGCCCATCGTGCTGGCCCCACCCACCCCCCCCCCGGGCTTATTTTCGGGATAGGAATAATATTAGGCCCACCCCCCCCCAAAAAAAAATTAGGTTGGACTTATTGGGGTGGGTCCAGGGTGGGCTGCTGGGGGTTCGCAAGGGTTCAGGAGAGCCCCTAACTAAGATTCTGTGCAGTTTGGAGAACCCCCAAATCCCACTCCTGGCTGGCCCGCCCACCTGTCCCCTCCTCTCCCAGGAATCCCCACATGGCCTGTTTTGGATGCAGGTAAGTGCAGGGTGCGTGCAGAGGATTGGGGAGGGTCAAAAACAGGCCTCCTGGAAGTTCGGGAAGGCTGGAAATGGGTCCGTTTTAGGCTTCCGGAGAGCCTCCGGAACCCGGGGAGGCCATTTTGGCCCACCTGGAGGCTCAAGGAAAGCCTCCGGAGCCCGGGGAGGGCAAAAACGCTCCTCCATCGTGGTGCAGGAGGCCGACTAGGCCACGCCCACCCAGCAACCGGGCAGAGAACTTTTTTGAAGCCCACCCCTGGGTGGGTCTTGTTTTTGGAGAAACACGGTAGTCCTCGTCTTACGACCACAGTTGAGCCCAAAGTTTCCATCACAAAACAAGACAATTGTCCAAGTGAGTCCTGCCCCCATTTTTTACCACTTATCTTGCCACAATAGTTGTTAACTCACTGCAGCTGTTAATAGCTTCCCCATTGACTTGGCTCATCAGGAGGTCGCAGAAGATCTGTCCCATGATGACACCACAACCATCATAAATACACACGTCTGAATTTGGATCCCGTGATCCTGGGGAAGCGGCCGTGGTCATAAGTGTGAAAAACCACCATAAGTCACAGTTTTTAGCGACGCTGTGATTTTAAATCTTAAAACAGTAAGTAAACGCGTGGTTGTAAGTGGAGGACTACCTATGTCTTAGTCCAACCTAATGTGCAGGGTGGTCTTTGTGGGGAGAACACATCTTGTACTGCACTTAAATATAAGCGCATACCAGATAAAAATATAAGCACGTGCTAAATCAAAATACTTCCCCAGGAGATGTATAAATCCTCAGTTTTGTTTCTAGGGTTCCCTTCCCCTTAGCTGTGGTTTCCATACAACCACATTACTGGCAATTGAAATGAGGGTGTTTTTTTTTTTTTGAAAAGGGAAAACAGGCAAGATAAGGCCCCGCTTAAGACATTGGCGTTAAGCTGTAATGTGGGTTTGTTGTTTCTGGTTTGGGCTTGGCCTTTTTGTATAATCCCAGCCCACAGAGCTTCAAAGGATTTGTCTGGCTTGGTTCAGAGCCTATGGAGAACCGTGGCTAACCACAGCAGCTGTGTGGCTCAGATCAAAAGTTTTGCAATCCGAAACCTGCATTTAGCAAAGTGGAACTTGCCATCCAAGCCAGAAAAGAAAACACAAGAGTTTTCAAAACGAGAAAGGAAATGGCTAGGGCATAAGACTAGAAACCGACAGTATGCTTGGTAGGGATCTGCTGTTGGCCTTCATTCAAGGCGAGAGAGGTCATCCTCAACTTGCAACCATTTCTTTAGTGACCCATGACTGTTTTCCACACTTAATGACCTTTGCAGCATTCCCATGGTCACGTGATCAAAATCCAGACTCTTGGCAACTGGCACGTACTTACGACAGTTGCTATGTCCTGGGGGCTCACGTGATCCAGTGGTGGGATTCAATTTTTTTTTTTGCTACTGGTTCTGTGGGCGTGGCTTGGCAGGCTTGGCGGGGGAAGGATACTGCAAAATCTCCATTCCCTCCCCACTCCTGGGGGAAGGTTACTGCAAAATCTCCATTCCTTCCCTACCCCACTAACCTGCTTTCCAGCTCTGTTCTCCTGTGCAGGGCAACCAAAGGAAAACCCAGCCTATCAGCTGGGACTCGGGAGGCAGAGAATAGATGGGGTTGGTGGGGCCAGTCAGAAGGGGTATTTGCCGGTTCTCCGAACTACTCAAGATTTCTGCTACCGGTTCTCCAGAACTGGTCAGAACCTGCTGAATACCCACCTCTGATGGTGATCCCCTTTTGCGACCTGACCATCAAGGACAATGGGGAAGCCAGATTCATTTACCAACGGTGTTACTAATTTAATAACTGCAGTGATCCACTTAACAACTGTGGAAAGAAAGGTCGTAAAATGGGGCCAAACTCGCTTAACAACTGTTTCGCTTTGCCACGGAAATTTTGGGCTTGAACTGCGGCCGAAAGTCCGAGCTCTTCTGTAATTTTGGCTATAAGAGGGCGTCTTCTGATGCACGCCTCTTTAGACACGTTTCTTAACTTTTGTCTCTCTCTTCTTCCTCCTTTTTCCCCGTCCAGCGGTGATCCTGCCAACCATTTGGGCCTATCTGCAAAAGCTCAATGCTGAACCGTACTACTTGGGCCTGGCTCTCTCTGCCTTTAGCTTTGCTGGATTAATCACAGGTCCCTTCTTTGGATACTGGTCCGACCGCACCCATCGAACCAAGGGGAGCATCATGTTTGCCAACTTGTTTCAGATAGCAGGTGAGTAGACCCTGCTGGGGGAGGTTGACACAGGTCGCCCTCTCAAGATAATTTGCCACCTTCTGTTCCTTCAGACCTCCAAGGTCCCTTTGTAAGGGCCTGCCTCTCCTCTCCACTCAAGAAAGTAGAACTCTTGAAACAATTAGCATTTCAAAAGGAGCCTTTTATTGAAGGAAGGAGAAAGCAAGACACGGGAAGCAGGACCTGAGGATTCCCCGTGCAATTCAGTTAAGTTAAGGCAGTTAGAAACGCCTCCTCTCAGTCCGGTGTTGAATAAGCCAATCCACTGGGTGAGGTTGTTTTGAGAATCGCCGGCTAAGAAAGTGATAAGAAACTGTTCTCAGGCGTCTCTTGCTGGAGGCTCCGGAGCTGAGACAAAACAGATGGCCCTTTACATTCCCATGAAAGGAAATCAAAGTACAGGCATCAGGAAAAAGGCTATAAACTAAAGAATGCACCCAGGCCTCCTCATCACCAAAATGGCAGTGTCCCCATAGGGATCTATGTGGGACCTGACACCCTTCCAACTATTGTTATTCTGTTACAAGCCTGCATTCTGTTAAGTGCAAGTAGATAAATAGGTACCACTTCGGTGGGCAGACAATAGTATTCCATGCTGCCCACATTGGCCCTGAAAATACCTTTGGGCAATGCTGACTTCCTCAGCTAAATAATAGAGATGGGCCCCACCTCCTGAAGTCAGACACAACTGTACACGGGAAACTTTTACCTTTTCATATTATGACATCATCCACCTAAGCTTTGGCCGTAAAGTGTTTTTTTTTTTAAATCTTATTTTTTGTTGATATTGAAGATCCTGAGGTTCATTGGAAACTCTTCGAAGAAATCAAAGTTGAGACAGCAGAATGTACAATTGGCCAAAGAAGAGGAACCTAGACAGAAAATGGACAACAATTGATGAATGGAAAAAAAGCCGATTAGATCAAGCCAAAACACCCGAGGAGAAGACAGAAGCAATGAGATTATATAAAACCTTGGAACGTAGAGTTAAACGTTACCTGCAAAGAAGACAAAAGGGAGGGTTGGAACGAAAAGTAGCTGACAACTAGAACGAGAACCAGTGCCAACGTACCAATTGAAGATAAATATGGGAACATGCTGATTAGTAATGAAGAACAAGCCAAACGTTGGGTCGAATGTTTTAGTGAGGTGTCAAACCAACCTAGCCCATTAACAACATACAATTTTACCAACCTAACACAACTAGAGAACTTGAGGTCAATATGGAACCAATTTCAATTAACAAAGTTAGGACACAACACGGTTGATTAAAAAAAAATGGCCAAGCAGCTGGTTTAGAGCAGTTCTCTGCAGAACTGCTAAAACATAGTGGAGACATTTTGGTGCAAGAGCCCACTATTTTATTCAGCTGTTGGCACCAGGAATATGTAACGGGAGAGTGGAGGCAGGGGGCAATCATTAAAGTATCAAAGACAGGGAACCCCAGTGGTTCTAACAACTGGAACAGCATGACGTTATTAGTCCCTGGAAGACTTCTATGCCTTGGGCTGCTCGGGAGACTGCAGCATTAAATAGATGCATTCCTGGGTGAAGAACAAGCAGGATTCAGGAAAGGATGCTCTTGTAACCACCTGATTCTGACCTTAAGAAATATCATCGAGCAGAGTTTAGAATTCCAGAAACCAATGGTAGTCATTTTTGTTGACTTCAAAAAGGCATTTGACTGGATACTATTGGTACTAACTTCATTTTTTTTTATATTTTGCTTCAGTAGAAATAAAACCATGGTGACAAGAGAAAGGCAAGGTACTGTAGTATAATAGCAATAGGTGCCAGGTGCAATCCCAAAACATCCAGAGCACCGCTTGAACACGATTGGCAAAATTTCCACCGGTGAATTGCAAAAGGCAGCTTTGCTTGGAACAGCTTTCGTCCTGTGGCAGTACCTTTAATAATAGTAGCAAAAGCACTTAGACTCCCAACAATCTGGCTCTTCATTTTACTGACTTCCGAAGGATGAAAGGCTGAGTCATCCTTGAGCCTGGTGAGCATTGAACTGCTGGCAGTCAGCAGAATTAGCCTGCAATACTGCCTCCTAACCAGTGCGCCACTACGGCTCTTTATTATCACCAAACACCCCCCATCTGCCTATCCAAGTCTTTGGGAAGGGCTTGATTGGTGGACAAAAATGCCAAATCCAGTCTGAACATGTGGCTGACTGTGCAGTAAACTATAAAAATAACAGAAGTGTTGAATCCATGGAAACAATTCCCCGTGCACATACTGTATATTTCACAGTTCGGCTATAGACGCTTTCCTCTGTGGCCAGGCATTTAATCCCAGAATCACAGAACTGTGGCGTTGCAAGGTTCATCTAATCCATCCTTCTGCAATGTGCAGGAATGCCAGCAAAACCGTCCCTGAGAGGTGACTGTGCATCTCTTTTTGGAAGCTCCCAGAAATGGAGAACCCACAGTTTCCATAGATAGATTGTTCCACTGATCCATTTTTCCATCTTATCCTCAGTAAATTTATTCCCATAGAGAGTCAGTCACTCCTTCCAGGTTTCGGACATCTAAACCTGTCCTAAATGTACCCATAATCCACTTGTTCCCCTGATCATTGTTTAGGGAGCTGTTCTGCTGCACAAAACCACAACCAGCATCATGCTGTCCATAAACGATTTAGCACTGGGTGCCATCAACCTTGGTGGCATCATGGGCCGCCTCATTCCAGGTGGGTTCTAGTCCTGTGATGTAGGGCTGTCTGAGCTCCACCAAGCCATCTTGCTTCTCCTCTTTCTACTCTGTTGTCTTTGTTTTCAGGAAACTTCATGTACTTTGTTGGTGGCTCCAAATGGATGCTTCTCAGCAGCCGACTAGTAGCAGGTAAGGACAGGAGACAACTCAACCCAACTCAACTAATTGAGCTTTGAGGTACAAATAAGAGAACTTTCTTCACTTTTTCCTTAATTTGGGACCTTAAGTTTCTCCAACTCTTATCAGCCCTTTTGCTTCTCTTCTTTCCTCCTCTTTCCACACAGCTTACTAAATCTTTTAGATAAAAGGCCTAGCCAAAAAAACATTAATGTGCTAAGTTGTTTTGCAACTTGGCTTGTTGGGCCAAGCTAGCTTATTTGGTTAGTCTTTATTTCCATGTATATTGTGCAAATTCAAATTAAAATAAAATAAAAACAAAATGCCTGAGTGACAAGTTAAGAGGATTGCACAAACACAGGACTTCAATTATATTTTGGATTTGTAGATTTTAGCTGGTTTTGAATTCTTATAAATGTATTACACTGGGTTTTGTTGCCCTGGTTCTAAATTTAACAAAGAGAACGGCATCGGAAGAAAATATCTTGCCCAGCCAACCAGATATTAGCTGGACAAATCTTGAAGGTGTCAAGACTTCTTCTTGTGGCATATCCATCATCGGACGTTGGCGATCGTGTTGGCAATCCTATTTTTATCAAGAGCAGCACGAAGAAGTGCTACTGAGTTTTGTCCAAACTGGTCCCTTAGATTTTGAAGCCATGATGTTTTTCTTCTGCCTGGACTTCATTTGCATTCAATCTTTACCTGGAGGATTAAGTGAAGTATGCCATATTTTTCCGGGTGTCATACCACATCTCCAAAATATTCTAACTTTTGCTTTTTAATGGTTTTGGTGATTTCCCTTGGCTTTCCCAGGCAGCTTGTCACCTCCTCATTTCTGATTTTGTCAACCCAACTTATACGTAACAGCTGTCTATAAATCCACATTTCAAATGCCTCTAGTCTCTTCAAGTGACTAACTCTCCACTCCGTAGAGCCGGATAGAAAAGATGTAGCTTATGACAAGCCTGATTTTCAATCTTAGGTGTCAGACAGGGAGGGCTAAATTGGATAACATGCTTTGGGTGGGTGGATGAGTGAAGACGTGCTTAAATTTACCATCCTTTCCTTTTCCAATGGACTTTTTCTGGATCTCCACGACAGGTGTGGGAACTGGAGCAGGGGCCTCCATCTTTGGCTACCTCACCCGCTCTACCACTTCGCAGGAGAGGTCCAAGGTCTTTGCGGCCGTCATGGCATGCCGCCAGGTTGGGCTGCTTATTGGTAAGGACTCCGCTTTTGACAGATCCTTCCCACATTCTGTGTCAGCACTGGAAGTTTGCATTGCAGTACAGGTAGACTTGTAACATTTCATTTAGTGACCATTCAAAGTTACAACGGCACTGGAGAAAGTGACTTAGGGCCGGTGTTCACACTTGTGTCCGTTGAAGCATCCCCATGGTCATGTGATCAAAATTCAGACACTTGGCAACTGACTCATATTTATGACGGTTGCAGGGTGCTGGGGTCATGTGATTGCCTTTTGTGACCTTTGGACAAGCCATTGAACAGCCGCGGTGGCGCAGTGGTTAGAATGCAGTATTGCAGGCTACTTCTGCTGACTGCTGGCTGCCTACAATTTGGCAGTTCGAATCCCATCAGTCTCAAGGTTGACTCAACCTTCAGTCCTTCCAAGGTGGGTAAAATGAGAACCTAAAATTGTTGGGGGTAATATGCTGACTCTGTAAACCACTTAGAGAGGGGCTGTAAAGCACTGTGAAGCGGTATATAAGTCTAATGCTATTGCTAACAACCATGTTACTAATGTAACCACTGCAATGATCCATTGAATAACTGTGGCAAGAAAGATCATAAAAAGGGGGCAAAACTCACTTAACAAATGTTTCACTTAAAAGGCACCAAGCAGCAATTTTGGTGTTGATAGTTGTTATAAGTCCAGGACAACCTGTATTTTGTCATTGGCCTTCTTTACATTCTCTGGGAGGATTTCTGGAAGGAGAAAATAAAAATAAAATATAGAAGATGGGTTATGTAGGCCCTTTACCAGCCCTGGATTTTATTCAGCCAAGGCAGTTTGTGGATGAAATTAAAATTGGCATGAAAAAGGCCAGTTTTAGAAGATAAACTTCTCTAACGTTGGAACTTCAGAGCAGTTTTTAAACAAGCAGATGTGCTGAGCAGCTGCTGTTTCGATGAAAACAAACATTTTTTTTTTAATTTTGAAGAGAGCAGTGAAAATAGCAACTGGAACTATTTATTTATATACTCTAAATTGCTTGGAAGTTCTAGAACAAGTTGAGGAACCTGTAGCTATCTAGATGTTGAATAAACTCCTAATGGTTTAAACCCCAAGATCATGTGAAGTGTTAATACCACTTTATAATGCCTTGGTAAGAGCCCATCTGGAATACCACTTTATAATGCCTTGGTAAGACCACAACTGCATCCAGTTTTGATCACCATGATGTAAAAAAGATGTTGAGACTCTAGAAAGAGTGCAGAGAAGAGCAACAAAGATGATTAGGGGACTGGAGGCTAAAACATACGAAGAACTGTTGCAGGAATTGGGTATGTCTAGTTTAATGAAAAGAAGGACTAGGGGTGACATGATAGCAGTCTTCCAATATCTCAGGGGCTGCCCCAAAGAAGAGGGAGTCAAGCTATTCTCCAAAGCAACTGAGGGCAGGACAAGAAGCAATGGATGGAAACTAATCAAGGAGAGAAGCAACTTAGAATTAAGGAGAACTTTCCTAACGGTTAGAACAAATAACCAGTGGAACGACTTGCCTCCAGAAGTTGTAAATGCTCCAACACTGGAAGTCTTTAAGAAGAGATTGGATAACCATTTGCCTGAAGTGATATAGGGTTTCCTGCCTAAGCGGGGGGTTGGACTAGAAGACCTCCAAGGTCCCTTCCAATTCTGGAGTTGAGGGTCCTAAATGTCCTTTCCTAAGTTATAATACTAGGACTAGTTAACTTTCATACCTGTGGCTGGGGTGCCACCACTAAGAAGAGTCTTTTTCTTGTAGCTGCCATCTTATGGGGAAAGGAAGGGTTTGAATAAATTTGTTTTATTTATTAAATTACGAAACAGTGACTCTGGGTGGCTTGGAGGTTGAAGGAAGGTCACTGCAGAAGATGCTGATGTCTTGGCAGGTAACCTGTATGCCCTCTTCATATACCTGTTTTGTCATATTTGCTTCTAGGACCAGCCTGTAACCTTTTCCTGCGCCTCTGCAATTTCCATCTGGGGCCTTTTGTGGTGAATAAGTTTACATCCCCCGGGGTAAGTCGCGAAGAATTTGTTCTTTTTAGAAGCACTATTTATTTATTAAATGTATATGTGTTGCCCATCTCACTCCACAAAGCGACTCTGGGTTGGCTTACAATTAATATCACAAATAGCAATAGCACTTAGACTTACATACTGCTTCACAGTGCTTTACAGCCCTCTCTAAGAGGTTTACAGAGTCAGCATATTGCCCCCCC